GGAGCTGGCGTCGTTGAGGCTGATGTCGGCGCTGCTGACGGTGAGGCAGACGCTGGCGGTGCCGATGTCGACGCGGACGACGATGGCGGTGACGGTGAGGCAGATGGTGTTGGTGATGTCGGCGGCACCGACGTCGTCGAGGCCGACGGCGGCGGCGCCGACGGCGAGGCGGACGGCGTCGGCGGCGTCGGTGCTCGGCGACGATGGCGAGGCCGACGGCGACGGCGACGAGGGCGAGGCGGACGGCGGCGGCGGAGACGGTGATGCAGATGGTGGAGGTGACGACGGTGAGGCGGAGGGTGTCGGTGACGACGGCGAGGCGGATCGGAGGCGGCGGCGAGGGCGATGTGGACGGCGGCGGCGGCGACGGCGAGGCGGACGGCGGCGGCGGAGACGGTGAGGTGGATGGAGGAGGTGGCGACGGTGAGGCGGAGGGAGGCGGTGGCGACGGCGAGGCGGACGGCGGCGGTGGCGAGGGCGAGGCGGACGGCGGCGGCGGAGACGGTGGCGGCGGCGAGGGCGAGGCGGACGGCGGCGGCGGCGAGGGCGAGGCGGACGGCGGCGGCGGAGATGGTGAGGCAGATGGAGGCGGTGGCGACGGTGAGGCGGAGGGAGGCGGTGGCGAGGGCGAGGCGGACGGCGGCGGCGGCGAGGGCGAGGCGGACGGAGGAGGTGGCGACGGTGAGGCGGAGGGAGGCGGCGAGGGCGAGGCGGAAGGAGGCGGCGGCGAGCGCGAGGCGGACGGCGGCGGCGAGGGCGGAGGCGGCGAGGGCGGTGGTGACGGAGGCGGAGGCGAGGGAGGCGGCGGCGAGGGTGGTTGCGGCGAGGGCGGTGGTGGAGAGGGCGGCGGTGGGGAGGGCGGCGGCGGGCTCGGGGGCTCTGGCACCGAGCTGCTCAGGCCCCGCGGTCTGAGCCGCGGTGAGGCGGGCAGGTGCGAGGCCAGATCCTGCGGCAATTCAGACTGTTGCCTTGGAGAAGGTTCCGTAGAGCTCTGCCGAACACCCCGGAGCGGAGAGGACTTCGCACCAACACCCCGCTGGACTGCCGGTTGTGGATCCGTGGGAGACGCGGCCGCTTTGCCGACGAGCTGGGCGAAGGCCACTCGGGCGAGAGCGGCGGTTGGGTTCAGCGAGGCGAATGTCCCGAGCAACACGGTGGCACCGGCGCCGACACCCATCTCGATCAGCTTCCAAACATGCCCAGCAGCGGCATGGGACCAAATAGACGCCTCCATTGCGATGGGGG